AGCTGGACACTTCCAGAAAAGGGAGAAATGTCACAGCATATGTCACAGTTAGAGACAGCCCCAATACACAGAGCATCACAGTACAGATTCAGAGGGCTTTAAGCATTCACCCATACAGAGTAACACGTTACCACTCAGAAGGCTGCAAGCATCTACTCGTTCTTTAGCCCAGCCTTTCACACCCCTCATGTTCATGCACTGCATCCGTGTGCCCTCTGTTCCCTTTGGTGGTTGGTCAGTGCCCCAGGGCAATCCAGGGCTCATTGCTGTCAGTGCTGTTCACCTGCTTTTCACAGCTGCACCCACTGGGCATGAGCTTGGCCACAGCCCCACTCCCATCACCACAAACTGTGCACCTACAAAGAAGGAAGGGGGGTTTTCTGAGGTAACCAACAAATGTTGCTGGACATGTATTGGCTGAGATAATTTCTGTTCTCAGTCATAGCATTCTACAGAGGCCTGCAGGTGAGTTTGATAATCTCTCTACAAAAGTTTAAAGGGAAAAATATGCAGAAAGACTCTGCATGGCAGTAATTTTTTAGGAGTTGCCACTCAGTGCATTTTACCATTTGGTTCTTAAACATTTACTCAGTATTTTGCTGAGTATGTTTGCATTCACTCAAATAATGGTTAATAAGCCTTTAAATTACTATTTCTGAAGCAAGGGACACAGCATACTTGACAGATCATCCTGAGGATGTAATTCTGGAGCAAGCCTGTGCTTTGTAGTAAAATACACTCAGTGTGGTGCCAGCACTGCTGCTAATGTCTGCCAGCCCTCACCCCTCCAGCCCTGCTCCTGATTTCCTCACAGCAGACCAGCTCCCACATTCACATTCCATGAAATCTCCTGAATTACCTGGCTGGCTGCACAAACTCAGTTAAGTCTGTGCCATATAGCAAGACCAACCATACAACCCCAACAATCCTGTCTGGTTTTTTAAATGTGCAGTGGCTTGGTAAAGGGATAAAACCTATCAGGAAGTCTGTGCCATATAGCAAGACCAACCATACAACCCCAACAATCCTGTCTTGTTTTGAAATGTGCAGTGGCTTGGTAAAGGAATAAAACCTATCAGGCATCAGAGTTAGACACATTTCCTAGATAAAGGATGGGCTGTCATTTTCTGTGTTAAAACTCAGGGCAGAACAGCTCCCATAGGGACAGCCAGGGTCTCTCATGTTTCTGTTATGTCTGTTTTCAGGTGCTGCCATAGCTTGGATTTCATAACTTACCCCGAGAACCCAGAGTGTAAATATCAGTCAATATAATGAGATTAAGGCAAGAAAGAACAGGCAGCACATGCTACGGGCCTGTGTGTTTGTACCCAAATTCATCTCTGCCAAACCTGCCATGAGTCCAGTGCAACACAAAAGCTGCCTGTGAGGCTTAAAAGTCCTAAATGAACACAGCTGGTCTGCCCTGCCAAAGAAATAGGCAGGTGGCTTCTCTTAAAGGAAAGTATTTTTCCTGAAGAAAAAATGCAACAATAGTTGACAGATTTCACTGAAGTACAAGATCAATAATGCCGAAATAGATGAAAATAAGTGTTGATTGTACAATAATCATTAATCTTAAAGTTTGTCTGAACTCCAAACCTCTGTCAAGGTGCAAAGATTATAGAAAAGCTCAAAAACCAGGAGGGCTGCAAACCAGACAGGCACAGTGTAAGTTTAGGAAGGATTGCCAGAGGAGTGGGTTATGTAATCAATGGCACATATTTCAACATTTGTGGAGAACAGTCAAAACAGGGTAGGTTCCAAAGAACAAAAGACAGACACTTGCTAAGCAAAACAAAAAGACAAATCACTCATTTGCCATTTGTGTATTTTTAAAAATTCTAATATTTTGTTTGTGTTATTAATTAGAAAGGAGAGAGAGAAAGACAGAAAGAAAGAAGCAGGCAAAATTAACATAATTGAGAAATTTCAGTACCAAAACTGGATGGAAAGAGACCACATGGGATGTTTTCTGAGGCTGGACTCTGATGAGCAGCCTTCCCTAAAGCTTTTGGAAGCAGATAGGCTCCCACAGCTGCATCCCTCCAGCTTCCACTAGAGAGATGCAAATCTTCCTCTCACCAGAGCAGCCAGGGAAGAGTCCTCATGCCAAGGGACTCCCTGTAGCACAAGAACCAACAGACCCAAGAACACACACCTGAGGGGGGAAAAGGGGAAACTGGGTGCTTGGCAAGGCAGAAGTGGCAATGAGGAGAAAGATGTTCAAGTTTGGGAGGAGGAGGCAGGTTTTGCAGGCAGTTTGTGCGAGTGCAGGAAGGATTAACACAGCTGCAGCAGGTAGAGGCCTTTCACTAAGGATGTGATCAATATGGCACTGCTCTTTGGACAGATGGAAGGGGGCTTAGCTAGACTAGACAAGGAGAAATTAAATTGACAATCAATCACACTGGTACACATTATTTCACAATTCTTAATCTATGCAGGATCTAGGCTATTATGGAAAATAACCTAAATACAATTCCAGTCATAGCTCAAGCTACTTGTCTTTAGTAGAAAAAAATAGTTAATTTCCTGTTTAAATGTCATCATCTTTTTCTCCTCAATAGCTTGGAATAGTCAATCATCAGAAATACTACATGCTTTTAAATTACGGTGATGAAAAAGTCTTTTTGTTACTCAACAATGGCATGAGATAATTCTGTTAATTCTTGTAACAGTTTCCTACTGACTTAGAATCTTCATTATACAGCTGAGGCAACTGACTGCAATCCACTTTCTAAGCACCATTACTGTGTCAATTTGAGCCAATTCAGCTGTTTGAAATGCATAGCATACATGGGTTATTTAATGCTTTATTTCAAACTGCCTTTGTTTTATTATCCATCAAGCTGTCTTTCTTGTTTAAGCACTAACTGTACTTAAAGAATTTAAGATACTGTCCTGGATGTGTTTTTCACTATGTTTTCAGTAGAAATTGTCATAATTATTCTAAAATAAAAAAATATATTTTTTCCAAGAGAGGGAGCTTTCTAAATAAAATCATCTGCCCATAGACTCTCTAGGAAACACGCTCTCAGATTTCCCTGTAATATTAATCTTGCAGAGGGAATTCAGATGTTCACGTGATAAAAAATAGCAAATCTAGAGTGACAACTAATGGTGATTTTCTTTGAAATCCTTTCTTGCTAATCTGATTTTAGAAGACTCTGAGGCACATTTCCAATTTGTGCTTCAGCCACTCCATTCTGTGAATATACAGAAGTAAGATCCATGCAGAAACAAATCAAAGATATCTACAAAATATTTCCATATTGGTATTCCATGTGAGGGGAATAATGTAAGTCACATCCTCTCCTGATGCCTTGGTAGCCCCATCAGCAAAGTAGTGACTGGTAGTGACACTCTTTGATTGAAAGACTGTTTACAAAGTAAAGGAATTTGAGAGCAGTGATTTGTTTTAATTTTTTAAAAATATTTTTACTTAAATCAGCACAATTGTAGGTTCAGATCTTGAATCTGCAGCGAAACAGGCTGAGACCTTAATGAGTAACTCACTTGGGTTCACCACATACTGTCTACAAACACATATGGGTGTTCCAGAGGCACATATTGGTTATCTCTCTCTTCTTTTTTGAAAACACAGATGCCATTTATGGGTATGTTCAAGTACAGCATTCACACCCATTTACATCTTTAAACTAAAACTCAATTATTCAGGATCTGCCACACCAACATGTGTAAAAATTATTTTCTATTTAAATATAGGAGCTAACATACTCTGCTGAAAGAGCAGTATCTGACATGAAATAGATACATTTATATATTTAGACACAAATACAAAGAATGCTGCCTCTCAACAACAAGGAGGTTGCACATAACTGGTAAGTAACTGAAACTATTCCAATTTATATCATTAACAAGCACTGTAGGACAGACTGCAGTGAAATACCTCACTGTGCAGTCACAGCAGAGAAGCTCAGATCCTCCTCACTGATTCCTAAATTTGGCATTCAGCCATAGAACAGGACACCTTTTAGGAAACTGGACACTTGTTTCCTGCCTTTTATTCCACTCTAATTCATCATGTCATGTCTTAAACACAAAATGTAACACAGCATTCTAAACCTCCCAGCAGTTACCAGCACCCACCTAGAGATTTACAAACAATAAATAAATAATAAATAAACCTACAGATTTACAAACAATACCTCCAGGAATGTATCATCCTCAAACACTCCCAGGTGCTCCCTGAACTGAACAAGCACCACAGAGATACCGCAGGAGGAACAGACCCACAAAGGACACAGCACTGACATCAGTCTCACAGACTGTCTACAAGGTAATACACTTTTTTTCCTTTTTCATCTCCTATCAGAACTACAGAAAGTCATTACTGAGATTGGCTGGAATATCCTGAAAATTTCTCACTCCAAGGATACCCCAGCATTTTGATGAATTTTCCATCCAGTGCTTTTGATTCCAAAAGAGAAGACAAAACAGAACTGAAATATCTTTTTTTTTTTTGCATGAGGACATAAATATGTCCCTTTCATTTCATAAGGGACATTTTTTTCCTTTTTAAATAAATCCACTGCAGTGTCTAAAAAGCCCACCTTTTAAATACTATTTCCTTTTATGCATAATGTGTTTTTTCACTCTGTGGCTTAGAGACAGGTGTGAATCTGTTTGTATCTGAAGAGACAAACCTCACTAATAAGTGATACAGAACTTTCAAATCCCTGAGTGACTCATGTCAACAGAGAGTTATAAAAGGCATCTCATAAAGCTTCTCTGCAAAGCAGGCAGATTCCCAGCATAGTCAGGGAAGCACCCATGCACCTCTTTCTGTGCATTCTGGCAGTTTATCCTGAAGTAAAAGGATTCATTAAGTGTGAATTAAAGCACAGTTGTAACTCTCTCTCCCCCACACAGGACAGCTGAGCAGAATCAAGCAGCCCACGATGTACCCTCACAGGGCATGTTCACATATTCTCTCTCTGCCACAGTTCCCCCACCCAGGTCATGCAGCCAGCTCTTACCTCAATGGTGTACTGCTCAAAAATCCGGAGCTGAAGGAAAATGTCTAGCTTAATCTTCCTCTCATGGAAGAGCTCTTCCATCTGTACCTGGGCCTCGTCGAGCTGCTGAAGGACAGATTCGATGTGGCTGATGGAACTGTTGTGGGGGGTCTTGTTGTTGGAAACAGCAGAGTCCCTGTGTCAAGGCAGAGGGCAGGGTTAGAGCTGAGCTGTGAGGCAGGCAAAAGAGCAAGAACTACACATCTGTGATTCTGCGTGCTGCTGAGGAGCAAAGCCAAGCACAGAGGGCTGAGGGAAGGTGTGTGCAACACTCATCTCCTCTGCTCCCTGAAATCCTGCAGATCCTGAGCTTGGCACAAAGTTGGAGCAGGGGGATCATCCTTTCTTGTGTTGTGGACACTGTGACCTTACATGCTTGGGAGGGGCAGGGGAGGAGATGCACATCAGTCTCAAGGGCTCACTTGAGCAGACTGGCTGGCAATCACCTTTAATGCTACAGGGTCATCTGCTCCTGCCTATACTTACATCAAACTGAGATGCTATTCAGCCTCCTGGACCTTTACAAGGTAATTTCCTGCATTTGCCCTATTACTTACAAATAAATTGAATCAGAATTATGAGTATTTTAGACCATGGCTAGCAGTGCTTGGTATCCTTTGAATAAAGTAGTACAGCAATGGATACAGGATACAGCACAAAAAATCCACAACACACCTTTCTGAAACTGCAAGAGAAATCCTGACTTGTATTTTCACTGGGGGAAGTGAAAGGAGATGTGACTGTGACAGGTCAGATACTGCTCCAGTTACATTTGCCATTTACAGGCAGCAGAAGGGAGCAAACCCTTTACTAGTGGGCTAGGACCAAAGGGGAATTTGCTGTGCTTGAAAGCTTAGCATGGGCACAGGAAAGCCCTGATGGTTTCTTTTCTATTTGTGCTTTCATGTATATTAATAGGCTCACATACTATGAGTCTGCAATGTCTTCAGCAATTTTTTTTCAGTGACTGTTCTATGGATAAATACTATTTGCAGACATAAAGAACTGAAATTTATCCTCAAACGCTCCACACAAGTCCCTCAATGTTCAGAAGGGCCAGAAAGGAAATTCTGAAGCCAAAATTTAATCTTGGCTTTGACACATTGGCTAAAACAAGATTTAATTGCAAGTACTACTGATTTCCCTTGCTTATATGGGAATATTACACTGATATTTCTCTCTCCAGGTGTTATGGCTTCTGCCCCACTCTGTCTGTTTTCACATTCATGGTGATCACAGGGTCTCTGCCTCCACATTAGAGCTGCACAGAGGAAGGAGGAATGAAAATAACTAGAGATTTTCAAACTACAGCTTAATCTGAGGCTGCATCCAATCAAGTTCTGTTTCCTTCAGTCAGCACCTGTCTTCTATAAAAGGACATGAAATAAGTCTTCACTCAGATGCAGGATTATTACTATTCATATATTATCTAAATTACTCAATGAATTATTCAAGACCGGTGTTGAATAATCTCTCACGGGATCTAGAGACACATTTAGTTTTAGAAATTCTTTTTCATTAAACATTTCACTCTTCAAATCAAGCCACACTTGCATTTCAGTGACTGATGCAATATAAAAGTTTAAGAGTAGTACTCTGCTGTGTTTTTTTAAGTCTCCTTGGATAAGGCATTGACAACACCCCTAGCTACTCCGGTCTGAGAAAGATCTCCCTACAGGAAAAAAACGTTTCTGAGATTGCATGCTTCTGTCACAATATTTCTTGTTCTGTCTGGTGATGAGAAACTCTGGAAAGAATAAATATAATACCCTTACTAATCTTTGAAAGGCCATGGATTAGAGTTTTAAAATTCAAATAAATTATTGGGACAAAAACCCCCAAAATAAACTCTGGGGAACATAAAATTGGACTCAGTACATTGCTGCTGACTTTGTTTAAAATGAACACTGTGCTCCTAAAACCACTTTCAGCGCTTTCACTGGGAGAAATCTCAATGAGAAATATCTATTATCTAAAGCTTATATTCTGAAGTACTGCAAAAAAGGCAAGATACCCAACTCTTCATTGGCTTTTCTTTTCAGCCACAAACATTCCTGCTTTTCTCATCTCACGGGAGCAAGTCATTGTTTTGCCTTTCACAGATGACCAGAAACGTTGCCCCCAGCAGCACCCCTGGAATTGCAGTTCAAAAGGTTTGCTTTGTGTTGGCTGCTGAGAACAAGGACCACCTCAGTAAAGCTCTGATAAGGAAGAGAGAGAAGTGTTTCCTGTGTGAACCATGACATGCACAGAATTTCTAGGCAGGCCTGTTTTATTCCTGATAGGTATGGCCTCCTGATGGAGTCACTGACGTCCTGAAGACCTTGTGTGAAGTGCAGTCCCAGGCATGGTATTTAGTTCAGGCAGCTGAGCTTTTCATTGCCTATCTGGAGGAAACAGAGTGCTGTTACACAAATGATCTTCTCTAAACCAAAATCTGTTCTCTCAAAGATAAGAACAAGAAATGTAAAACTTTCCAAAGCTCCAGTAATTTTATTGCTTTTAACCTGTGTTATGACATGCTTGATAAGAGCAGTGTATTTCATTCTTTCCATTGTTGTAGCATTTGCAATCTTCATCTATTCTTCACGGCAGGTACAATGTGAGCCACACTGAAATGCAATCCTGTGTTAAGGAAAGACTGCAGCAATTCTAGTTTTTCCTTTATCCGTGTGTTCTTTACCATTGCCAGCAGCAATGAAAGCTGGTAAGAGTGGGCACACACAGAGGCAGCTTCAATGGGTTTTTTTTCCACACTGTTCTGCTTTGAAAGAGTCCAGGATCACATTACAAGCTTTGCAGTTAGTCAGAGTGCTCAAATCCAACACTTGAACCAGCTCATCTTGACAGCTCACCACTGCAAACTTTTCTGTGCATTCAAACGTTTGGTATTAACTCCATGAGAACCAGAGGACTGATTTGCACAAATATGTTCACCTTGTTCCACCTTGCTCGCTGCTCAGAGAACAAACCAGACCCCAGCTTCTCTTTGTTAAACACAGCTGCCACGAAACCTGCCTTGGTACTTTGCAAGCATTGGAGCATGACACTGATTAAAAAGAAGTCTCAAAGCTGAGGCCACAGTCACTTTTCCAAGACTGAAGACAAGAATGGACTATGTTCACATTAGAAAAAGCTGAAGTCCCACACACCATCTTGCAGTTCACCTCTTTCCCATGCTCCGTTGACTTCTCAGCTCCAGGTATTACCCTGGCCACTCTCCACACTTCCCTTCTGACTCAGGTAAAATCCTTTAGGCCAAGCCCACAATCAGAACAAGGACTCTGAATGTCGACACATTCTGCAACCCTAAAAACCACTCCACACTCCACCTGATGGGCTTGTACAGGGTCCCTTCCAGGCTCTACTCCATGGGTGTTCACACTGAAGTGATGCCATTCCAATAGTTGAGAAGAATAACAAAAATATTTTTAGCCCACAATTTAAATGCCATTTTTTTGATCTCATAGAAATGCCCTAAACTTTGCAAACAATGTCTTTGCATAAAAGTAAGTTACCATGCAGACCTTTGACTGACCTGCTCCAGCTGGCCATGCACACATTCTCAGCTAAAACCCCTTCCCCTCTGGCAGCTCCCTTACCAAACCCAGCATGTTTTTATCCTACTGATCTCATCAGCAAGGATGAATGGAAGGATGGAATGTCCACTCCTGATCCTTCCTCTCCAACTCTAACACTGGCAAGCAATACCACAGCTCCAGTCCCTCTCCCTCCCCTGTGGTGCTGACAAGTCCACACACAGCAAGGGTAGGAATCTCCATGAGCTCTCTGGTGCAGCTGCCCAGGGCTGAAGGACAATCAAAACCTAGAGCAGTCCTTTCATTATTTTTTTTTCTGACCCAGCAGTGAAAACTCTGCATCCAGGATGACAGGGAAAAGCTTAGAGGAAAGCTCAGCCTATGGCAGTAGGAAAATACTTCAGGACTCCAGGAGGGCTCTTAAGGGCAGAGCTCCACCAGAGCCCTCCTTGTCCATTGCATTCCAGAGCATCTTGGGCTTTTCCTCTCAGGTTCCTATCATGGCTCATGGTTTCCTGCACATCTCAGATGAGAAGTAAAGTCATTACATTAGGAAAGCTCAGGGTGAGGAAGATGATGTCACTCTCTTGGAATGTCTGGTGAAATGCTTAAAACCTGGGATATTTGCATATTATAATGTATACAGAACATGCACACATGTGGGTAAGGGCAACCTGTAACAACACAAGGATCTAAATAATAAGTGATGTATTGGACTTGGTTCAGTGCCCAGCAACATCCCTAAAAGGCAGGAAAATTTCACTGCTGTCAACAAAGCTAAAGGCACAGAAAACCACTGTAACAACAAATGAGAGAGATTTCACAATCACAAATTCTGTACAAGCTTACTCTGCAAATATTCATTTGACAATACTTGCAGATTAAGAAAGAAAATAAACATAAATATCAAACACCCAACAAAAACCCCAACATCTCCCCCCACCCCAATTCTTGGGACTAGTGTCTTCATGTATTTTAAATTAGGCAAAAATGAGCTGGTTTAATTCACAGTGCTAGTAGAAGAACCAGCAGTAAAAGAGCCTCTTTGACACCATGAATAAAACCCACATACACAGAGATAAATAGAAGGGTGCTGCATGCAAAATGAAACAGTGAAGACTGTTAGACACGTGTGTATTTTATTAAGAGGAATACACTTACCCTACATCGGGAATAACCATATAAATCACGAGGCCTCAGTTCACAACCATTTAACAATCTTCTATAAATACCAACTAAAAATATTCACTTCAAACACATTTGGTTTCATTCACTTCCCAGTGCCTATAAATAATCTCTCAGTCAAACAGGAAACCAGTGCTGATCCACAGACTACTCTAATCAGTCCACACAAATCACTCCCTGTAATTTCAATAAAACACTCCAAAAATCTGAAGAATTATAAATAAGCAAAGAATTAACAAACTCTCCCAATTGATCCTAGCTTGCAGTTCCCTATTTAGGCACCCCTAAAGCACTGCATGCATCAGATTTCTCAACACCTGTGCCCCAGGTGGGTGCTTACCTGAGCTGCTGGATTAGATCTTCCCCTTCTTTAATAACATTGAGAGTTGCATCCAGGGTGGCTGTTTGCTGCTGCTGAAACTGCTTGATAAGCTCCTGAACCGCATCCACAGAGTCAGCACAGACATCCTCTAAGAGCTCCTTCTGCAGATCTTCCATCCATGTCCACAGCTGGGAAGAAGGGGAGGGAAATATAAATCAGAGAGGGATTGAGATTTAACCCTTTTGCTCTCTAATTCCAGATCAATAGGCATTAACTCGGGCTGCATGTTTCACAGGAAAACTGATCTATAATTTGTAAACCCAAATAGATGCATTTGATATTGATTCCATTTAAAGAAAGAAAATAAGATAAATATAATATCAGGTAGTTAAAAAATCAATTTCTATTTATTATACAGCAATAACTAATTATTTTATTCTTATTAGCTCTATATACTAGTAACAAATTAAAATCTCCTACAGCTGTGATAACCTAACTCTTTCAGGAGCTCAGCACTATCAGCTGCTATTAATTTCACATGCAGCTGAAGCCTGTTGCAGGACAGACCTGCAGTCTTTGGTATGTGTGTATGGTACTGACTGAAGTCTAACTGTGCCTGCTCAGCTATGCCTTCCCAGGGGTTGAGGTTTTGATGTTTCTTTTTCAGTTTGCAGTACTTAAACCCCCTCCTCAAAATGCACTCGGACTCTGCATTTTAACTCTGGGAAAATCCAAACATAGGAGACAGCAATATCACTAATCGACCCCATGAAGATCCATTAATTTTGAATAGTTCTGACTACCAGTTTTAAAGCCACAATCACAGCAACAAATCATTGCAAGTGCTTAGATGAGAATTTCCAGCCAGCTGTTCATCAGAGGTCTGGGCAGGGGCAGGAATGCCCCAGCAGCCTCTCACTGGCTGTAAAGGCTTAAAGTGAACAGAGGATTCCCCTTTAAGCTTGTGCTGAAAAGTGAGTGTAAAATTGCACCAACCGAGCTGGCAGCCTGCCAGCACACCCTAATGATTCCACCAGAGACTCTTTTCTGTGCCACGCCTGCCCCATTAACCCACATTTTGCTGGTGTGTGCTGGAGGTAGCAGGGAAGTACCGGAGTGCGAAACAGCAGCACACTGGGAAATGGCAAAGGATGCTCTGGGAAATAGCAAAGGATGCAGTGCTTCTCCCAGGGACTGCAGAGCTTTGTCCCACAGGACCTTGGGGTGAACATGAAGCAGAGGAGGACATTGTGTGTGGGTGGCAAAGAGCTGGTAAAAATGCTTGTGTTCAGAACGAGTTGCGCTGGGTCCCCATCCTGCAGCATTTCCTCTGAGACTGTGAATTCTGCACGTCCACATTAAATGAGAGGAGGATGGGGATGTCTAAAGCTCCAGCTGCCAAAGCTTCTCACAGCCAGGGCCCGCACCTAAGGTCAGTCACTAAGTCCTACACTTACACATGCTACAGACTTCAAGGATATTGCCCTGGCCCAAATCAAAATTATCAGAATTAGAATCTGTCCCAGCACGCTCATGATACAAGAAAAGGGAGAGCCCAGTGCCTTTTGCTCTGTCCCCACCTCTGCTACTGAGTCCTTGCTTGAGAGACTCACAAAAACAAGTATTAGAACATACGCCTTACTTGTAGGTTTTTCAGAGTCAGCTTTTAATGTTTTGGATAAATGCCTCTGTTTATTCACAAATATTATAATGATAATGGCCTAGCCAACTACTGGCCTGGAAACAGAATGTCTTTGCTTGGGATATTTACATATTTTCACATTCTTAGGAAAAAGGCAGAGTGTAAAAGGGGAACTATTAATCAAAGAAATAAATGTAAGTGAATAGGCATGAGAAATAAGTGAAAAAATGAAAACACAGTTAATGAGCCAAATAGAGGGCTTTTTCAGTTGTGCTTTGAGGTCCATGTGCTGAACTTTGGGAAGCTACCATAAAGGAAAATGCATTAGTGCCTTTATATGTTAATTATATTGAGATTCTTCCTGGCTTTGATCCAATCCCTACACCCACTCAAAGAGTAGGGGCAGCTGGACGAAAACAGACAAAGACCAGGTTATTCAGGAATATTACTTCTGCTTATCAGATCTTCAAGTAATAGAGCACTTTGTAAATACAGAAAAATAGCTATGTATATAAATCATCCTGTTTTGAGGTGGGGAAGACAGTTTTTTTTAAATTTCTTGTAATTCTTAGTTCCTTTTTCAACTTAAAAAAGTTTAGGAAATTTTCTTTATAAAACGAAAGTGAAATCAGGAACTTTGTTCATTGTTAGTAATCTGCTGTTTTCTTGAAATTATTTTGTTAGGGCAGAGGAGAAAGTTTCCAGCCTTCAGAGGAAAATCCTGTGCTCTAAAGTGTCTCCAGAACCCAACTTTTCAGAAGGAGCATTGGGCATTTAAGATCTTACTCCACTTTTTGAGTAGGCTTCTAAATCAGTTTCAAAATACTTAAAACATAAGGTGTATTGTATTCACCTGGAAACAAAACACTCCCTAATTTCAGAGAGCACTCAAATATATTAACTCATATTAGCTTCAGATGTTTCCATTAATGACCTCTGTCTATAAGGATTTGCATATAAAATCTATCAGAATCTAGGTCATCCTTGACTCAGAGGCCTTTAATCCTTTAGACTCCACCAATCCCTGGAAAACCCTAATACAAAGAATCAGTCAATATTAATAAGATTAGGAAGATCTTTCAGGAAAAATTCACAATAGGAATCTGATTCCAAAACCTCCTAGGTTATGAGCTACAATTAATAGCACCTGAAATAAATTGCTGCCATGCCCCACTTGTGAATGCCACAGCAATGAAAAGACCAATTCCATATCACTGCAACACCAGAACAGCTGTTAATCATAAAACAGAAATCACATCCTGATTGTCTCTGCTCAGGAAAATCAGTCCCTCTCAGGGCCTGATGTTTCATTCCAATGCAAGTATTTGACCTATTAAAAAAATCCTGACTCTTAAAGCCTCAAATCACTGAATACTTTGTGCATTTCCAGTCCATGCTGTGACCTACTCTAAACTAGACAGCTTAGACCAAAGAAACTGTTCCCATTAAAATCTGACATATTGCACAGCACAACTTTTATTTAATATTTTCAGAAATTGACTTCTTTTATTCTTAACTTGAACAAAATTTGTGACTACTTGTTCCATTCCCATACATACTTCAAACTATTACTAAGGTACCACTTGATCCCATACAAAGGGTGTATGTAGATATATGCAGATATTGCAAATATAAAGACAGAATTTCCACATCCACCTGTGGTGACTTTCACTAAGTTTGCCAGTCATGCAGGAGTCCACAAAAGGAGATAAGCTCTGCATTATGTTACTTAAAAGGTACTAAAGAAAAAAAAAAAATCCTGACTCTTAAAGCCTCAAATCACTGAATACTTTGTGCATTTCCAGTCCATGCTGTGACCTACTCTAAACTAGACAGCTTAGACCAAAGAAACTGTTCCCATTAAAATCTGACATATTGCACAGCACAACTTTTATTTAATATTTTCAGAAATTTACTTCTTTTATTCTTACCTTGAACAAAATTTGTGACTACTTGTTACAGAATCCTAGAAAACAATACAGAAGTATTACAAAAGTAACTTTTGTTCTTCCTTCAACTCATCTATGCTTTGGGGTGATTAATTGGACATGGTGAACCCGATGCATTTAGTGGTAGCACCTGAATTCAGTCTATGAGAGACCTGACTCAAACCTGACACATGCAAACTACATGTAAAAATGTCATAATTGTTTGCTATGAGAAGTGTCAGGTAAAAACCTATCCCTAAGCCTTTAATGTTGAAGGTCCATAGTGGCTCCACAACTGAAGCTTTATTTTATCAAGGCTTTACACAAGACAACTAATTCTCCTCTGATTACTAGAACAGTGGGAAAGAAGAATGACACTTCTCCTTTCTTTTGGGATAGCATCTGGTGCCCCTCATGAATGGTGACAACAACTTTTGCATCTTCCTAGGATATGAAACACAGATAGTTTCCCTGCATCCAAGAGACAATACAGCTGTTTATTCCCAGCTACTTAATCTGATGAAATACCCTTCATTTTGCTCAATTACTGAGACCACTTAACTCGAGGTCTGAGGACACCTGTGCTTGTTACCTAAAATTAATGCTTTTCACTTAGAAAAAGGAACCACTTTAAACAAAATCTAAAACCTAAAGAGATTGCTAAGAAAACATTGTCTGCATGGTTGGAATAACTATTAAATACCCAATGCTTATATGCTGCTATTTGTAAATGACAGAGATGAGTTATAATCCCCTCAAAAGCAGTTTAGAAGCACTGAGTTATGGGAGCAGTGCAAAGAACCAGTTCAATCCAGGAGATTTACTGTTGTACAGCATTTTTGCTAGTCTTCAAAACAAGTATGTTAATGGAATCAAGCAACTTCCCAGGATGGATGTTCTGCCCCTTTACTATGGCAGAGAATTGTTGTGTATGGCAGGGCAGGCCCCAAAAGGATGCTCATGACAACTCAGGAACAGAAAATTCATCACAGCAATGAAGACAAGGACAGAATGCACAAGAATTCAGGGACATGTAGAAACCCTGCTGACACTCCATGAATTGCCATGTGAGTGTTCAGAAAACCAAGGACAGGCTGAGAAAGACCCCCCAAAACCCTCAAGCAGAACTGCTCCAGAGAGAGATGTTCATCAACCCTATTTCTCTCTGCTACTATGCCAGGCTTTTACAAGCCAATTCTATGGCAATAATATTTAGCTTTGTCATGACATGCACTAGGAAGTCACACAGATCCCAAGTTAGGTTAATTTGTGGCACAACTTCAGTCTGCACTTGTGTTAAGGCATCTGTTCAAATGCTGTTGTGCATCCAGCTTGACTGCACAGCCTTTAGGAAATTGTCCCCACACCAACATGGCGGTGAAAATAAAACTTTCCATCACAACTAACCTTCATCACCTGGTATTTATTCACACTTACAATGCATCTAGCCTGTTTCTGTTGAAAGAACTGAGGGTTGCTGTAAACTGGAAGCATATTTCAGCAACATTGTCAGAAGTCACATTCAAGCTTTCAAGAAAACATCAACAGAAACACGGAAAACAAGGTCTGTAATGATGAGCTGCAAAGTGACCTCATGCCACCAGCAAAGTGTCACAGA